ACATCCTTCCTGGAGGAACGAGAATCTGGAAGAGCTGATTAACAACGTACACGTGCCATGGTTGAACACTAAGGCACGTCACTTGCAAAACAACATACTCCTTCGAGAAGATCATTCCCGAGGTGTGCACTCACCCACCCACAGGCGGATCGCCTCGCAGGGCACCCATCTGATCACGGCTTCTGCAGGAGCGCTGCCTATGCGCAGGGAGGGAGAGGAGAAGCCAGGCAGCAAATGGAAAAAAATCTAATCAAAGCGATATCCAAAGGGGACTGAACAAGCTCTTCTAAAGGCCTTACATAACATGACTTTCAGCTGAAGGCATCTTCCTAGACAAAAAGGAACTCTTTGCAACAGCTTTTATTTTTTTTCTTCAAAGATACAAACTGCAAAGATTATTTGAGGAGGGGAAAAAAAAAAATATTGTATCCTGTTCTGCTCTAATGTTGATCCAGCACCAGAACCACGCACTAAACCCAGGTATTTGCAAGTCAACTTTCCTCAGCACATCGAGAAACCCACAAAATTTTCAGCTGGGCTGTAAAACGGGGATCACCCATCGAATTGGGCGAGTAGATCCCCCACAAGCCCTCTCCTCCGACAGCAGAGGCAGGGACATCTCCGACGGGAAACGAGCAGCCCGTCCTAAGAGCATCCCGGAGGATAACCTGCACTCCTGAGCCGGTTCTGCTGGGAAGGACGTGCAGAAGCAAGGCAGAACAACAAGGCAGAACCGACTCTCGGCCCTTGCACAACGCTGTTGTGAAAGCAGCCAACCTGCCACCGAGCACACGCCCAGCCCGGCACCCCGGGTGGGAAGGGACCGCGAGGAGCAGCCGGGCCAACGCTTCTGGGTAAAAGCAGAGTCCCACCAGGCTGACCCTGCCCCCTGTCCAACCGTAACTTAAAATTGTCTGATGTTGGGGAATCCACCACTTCCCTGGGGAGATTATTCCAGTGGCCGATTGTTCTCACTGTGAAAAATTTTCCTTTTGCGTCCAATCGGAAACTCCCCAGGAGTAACTTGTATCCGTGATCCCTCATCTTTTCCATGGGATTCCTTGTAAAAAGGGAGTTTCCACCTTCTTCGTAGTCACCCTTTAAATACTGGAACACGGTGCTAAGGACTCCCTGAGCCTTCTTTCCTCAAGGCTGAACAAACCCAGTTCTTCCGGCATTTCCTCACATGGGTTCCCAGGCCCTTGATCATCTCTGTAGCCCTTCTCTGGGCCCTCCCCAACCTGGCCACATCTTTTTTGTACAGAGGGGGCCAAAACTGATCTCAAAGCAGAGATCTCTGGGGGATGCGAGGAGAATCGCTTCTTCCCTTACTTGTTTGACTCTTCCCTAATTCCCTGAAAGACTCCCCACCATGCCGAGGTGATGGATGATGAGGTGATCTCCACCTCACCTGGGTGATGAGGTGATCTCCGTCTAACCTGGGTGATGAGGCGATCTCCACCTCACCTGGGTGATGAGGTGATCTCCACCTAACCCGGGTGATGAGGTGATCTCCACCTAACCTGGGTGATGAGGTGATCTCCATCTAACCCGGGTGATGAGGTGATCTCCATCTAACCCAGGTGATGAGGTGATCTCCGTCTAACCTGGGTGATGAGGTGATCTCCGTCTAACCCGGGTGATGAGGTGATCTCCACCTAACCCGGGTGATGAGGTGATCTCCACCTAACCCAGGTGATGAGGTGATCTCCACCTAACCTGGGTGATGAGGTGATCTCCACCTAACCCGGGTGATGAAATCCGATGCTGGGCACGTGCCCACCGGCAAGCGAAGGCCGAGGCACACACCGCTTGATTGAAGACTTTTACCCTGGGATTCCCTCCGTGTGCATCCACTGTTCTGCCTGGGATAAGGCTGAAAGAAAATCAACCCCGACAGCCCGCAACCTTCCACCTCGATGGCGATATTCTACACTAACCCACAGTCGCCCGCGGCCCAGAAAGAGCAGGCGAGGCTTCAGCGCCTTCCCCCGGTGTGTGCTGAGCAGCTTCCCTCAGCATCCCCACGCCATTTACCGGTGTCAACAGCAGCTTTCTGGAAGTACGTGGCTCATCCCAGCGGAGGCCATCCCCCTGCAGCCCCACCGACCTGCGGCACTGCCGCCCTCAGCCAGCCGGCCGGCGGCCGTGGCTCCGGCCGGAGCGCGGGAACGGCGAGTTCCTGGCACCGCTCCGGCACGTGCGCCCGCAAGAGAACAGGAGGCTCAGACAAAGCGTTTCCAGGGCCAAACCCCGCTCGGCTGCACCCGCCAGGGGAGGAGTTGGGGGGACACAAATAGATGGGGCCGAGG